ACAGTAGCGTTGTAATACTTGAGTATACTGACAGTGATGTTGTAATACTTCAGTATACTGACAGTGATGTTACTTGAGTAAGCTTATAATAGTGTTCTTATACTTCTTTTTCCTGACACTGGCGTGTTACACTTGAATTTACTGTAGGTATTGGATACTTGACATCTATGTACTAAGCAATAAAACTTAATCCTACAGATATTGTCTTTCCTAAGTAAATTCTTCAATTCACTAATTGTAAAATATATAATTAGAGCTGATACATTCTCACCAAGCTGTTTCTGCAACGACAACTTTCGTGTGATTTATGATCCTAGAATTCGTGCACATGTGTATTTAGAACGGAAACCTATTAAATGAATTTAACTCCACAGAGGACACATGTGTTTGTTCTGTCGTCTATCTGGAGAAATGTTCATTTTGATTCAGAGTTAAGCTTATGATGTTGTGAATAAGGGATTACGACAAACAAATTCCATTATTTTGTAATGATATTCCGGGATGCGCACCTGCCCCCAAGTTCCTGCTTCTTGCATGCTGGCGAGGTTTTCAATACCTCAGTGGGTATTGGTATAATTGTGTTTTCTTCACTGGGGATGTCAACATTCTAGTTTCGCTAAGTTGATGGAGACTCTGCTACGTGACGCACATGGTTCCCTTAAAAGCATTAGCCTGACAAAGGGCTACAGAAATATCATTATATTGTCTATGTCTGTTGAAAGATTGTTTCAACGTGTTCTATCAGAACTTATCCGTCTGGAGAAGAAACAGAAATGTTATATTGGGGGGTTAAAACCAAACTAAGGTAGATCTATACCTGATAAGCTCTGTAATTCCGAGTACAAATGTCTGGCAAAATCTGCTCCCTGTAGAGAAAGGCGGCACCCAAATCATTTTGAAATGGTTTTGTATTTTTCTCGTTTTAATTTGTGCATTTGTTTTTCTTTCAGATTCAGAATAGATAAAACAATGTTAGAAAAAGCACATTTAACGAATTGTTTTTTTTCCAATCTCAATGAATAAAAGAGTGAAAGAAGATTTTTATTATTATTTGAAATATATAAAGTCATTACCAACTTTATGTTATACACATATTTTATCCATAAAACCTAAACATTCTTGAATTGTTATGAAGTGAATCCACCTGTACTAAGATACCACCTGTCAGTATGAGTCCACAGTGTACTAACACACCACCTGTCAATGTGAATCCTCAGTGTACTAAGATACCACCTGTCAATGTGAATCCACCTGTACTAAGATACCTCCTGTCAATATGAGTCCACAGTGTACAAAGATACCAACTGTCAATGTGAATCCACAGTGTACGAAGATACCATCTGTCAATGTGAGACCACACTTGTCAATATGAGTCCACAGTGTACTAAGATACCACCTGTCAATGTGAATCCACAGTGTACTAACATACCACCTGTCAATGTGAGTCCACCTGTACTAAGATACCACCTGTCAATGTGAATCCACCTGTACTAAGATACCACCTGTCAATATGAGTCCACAGTGTACTAAGATACCTCCTGTCAATGTGAATCCACAGTGTACTAAGATACCACCTGTCAATATGAGTCAACAGGGTACTAAGATACCACCTGTCAATGTGAATCCACAGTGTACTAAGATACCCCCTGTCAATATGAGTCAACAGTGTACGAAGATACCACCTGTCAATATGAGTCAACAGGGTACTAAGATACCACCTGTCAATGTGATTCCACCTGTAATAAGATACCACCTGTCAATGTGAATCCACAGTGTAATAAGATACCACCTGGCAATATGAGTCAACAGTGTACTAAGATACCGCCTGTCAATGTGAATCCACCTGTACTAAGATACCTCCTGTCAATATGAGTCCACAGTGTACAAAGATACCAACTGTCAATGTGAATCCACAGTGTACGAAGATACCATCTGTCAATGTGAGACCACACTTGTCAATATGAGTCCACAGTGTACTAAAATACCTCCTGTCAATGTGAATCCACAGTGGACTAAGATACCACCTGTCAATGTGAATCCAGTGTACAAAGATACCACGAGTCAATGTGAATCCACAGTGTACTAAGATACCCCCTGTCAATATGAGTCAACAGTGTACTGAGATACCACCTGTCAATATGAGTCAACAGTGTACTGAGATACCACCTGTCAATATGAGTCAACAGGGTACTAAGATACCACCTGTCAATGTGAGTCCACACCTACTAAGATACCACCTGACAATGTGAATCCTCCTGTACTAAGATACCACCTGTCAATATGAGTCCACAGTGTACTAAAATACCTCCTGTCAATGTGAATCCACAGTGGACTAAGATACCACCTGTCAATATGAGTCCACAGTGTTCTAAGATACCACCTGACAATGTGAATCCAGTGTACTAAGATACCACCTGTCAATGCGAATCCACCTGTACTAAGATACCACCTATCAATGTGAATACACAGTGTACTAAGATCCCACCTGTCAATGTGAATCCACCTGTAATAAGATACCACCTGTCAATGTGAATCCACAGTGTACTGACATACCACCTGTCAATGTGAGTCCACCTGTACTAAGATACCAACTGTCAATAGGAATCCACCTGTACTAAGATACCACCTGTCAATGTGAATCCAGCTGTACTAAGATACCACCTGTCAATGTGAATCCAGTGTACAAAGATACCACGTGTCAATGTGAATCCACAGTGTACTAAGATACCACCTGACAATGTGAATCCAGTGTACTAAGATACCACTTGTCAATGTGAATTCAGTGTACTAAGATGCCACCTGTCAATGTGAATCCAGTGTACTAAGATACCACCTGTCAATGTGAATCCACAGTGTACTAAGATACCACGTGTCAATGTGAGTCCACAGTGTACTAAGATACCACCTGTCAATGTGAGTCCACAGTGTACAAAGATACCACCTGTCAATGTGAATCCAGTGTACTAAGATGCCACCTGTCAATGTGAATCCAGTGTACTAAGATGCCACGTGTCAATGTGAATCCACCTGTACTAAGATACCACCTGACAATGTGAATCCAGTGTACTAAGATACCACTTGTCAATGTGAATTCAGTGTACTAAGATGCCTCCTGTCAATGTGAATCCAGTGTACTAAGATACAACTTGTCAAGGTGAATCCAGTGTACTAAGATACCACGTCTCAATGTGAATCCACCTGTACTAAGATACCACCTGTCAATGTGAATCCAGTGTACTAAGATACCACTTGTCAAGGTGAATCCAGTGTACTAAGATACCACGTGTCAATGTGAATCCACCTGTACTAAGATACCACCTGTCAATGTGAATCCACCTGTGCTAAGATACCACCTGACAATGTGAATCCAGTGTACTAAGATACCACTTGTCAAGGTGAATCCAGTGTACTAAGATACCACCTGTCAATGTGAATCCAGTGTTCTAAGATACCACCTGTCAATGTGAATCCACAGTGTACTAAGATACCACCTGTCAATGTGAGTCCACACCTGTAAATATGAGTCCACAGTGTACTAAGATACCACCTGTAAATATGAATACACATGTATTAATTGACCACCTGTCAATGTGAATCTGTCACCTGTCAATGTGAATCCACCTGTATTAAGTGACCATCTGTCAATGTAAACCAACCTGTATTCGGAGACCAGTTATTGTAAATAAACCTGTATTAAGAGACCACTGTCATTGTTAATCAACATGTATTAAGAGACCACATGTAAATGTTAATCCACCTGTATTAGGAGACCAGTTATTGTTAATGAACATGTATTAAGAGACCACCTGTCAATGTTAATCCACCTGTATTAGGAGACCAGTTATTGTTAATGAACATGTATTAAGAGACCACATGTAAATGTTAATCCACCTGTATTAGGAGACCAGTTATTGTTAATGAACATGTATTAAGAGACCACATGTAAATGTTAATCCACCTGTATTAGGAGACCAGTTATTGTTAATGAACATGTATTAAGAGACCACTTGTCAATGTTAATCCACCTGTATTAGGAGACCAGTATTTGTTAATGAACATGTATTAAGGGACCACCTGTAAATGTTAATCCACCTGTATTAGGAGACCAGTTATTGTTAATAAACATGTATTAAGAGACCACCTGTCAATGTGAATCCACCTGTATTAAGTCCTGTGAGACACACTGTATTGGTCAATTTAACCTTTCTAATCTGACTCCCTGTGAGACACAACACATAGGTCAATTTAACATTTCTTATCTGATACCCTATGATACGCTAAATAGTAATGCAACAATTTCTTGGAAATGTAGAATGTCTAAATGAATACTCTCATTTCATAGTAGAAGGCAACATGAATACAGTAAATCTTGATATACTGCCACCATTTGTCCAGAGAAAATATGGCTTTGTAAAGGGGTTTGGCAATAAACTGAGGGAAAAGTTAAAAGGAATTTTTAAAGAAAAATAGAAAAAGGAACCTTGAAATATGTTGGTGGTAAGCAAGATGGCAAATGAAGCGACGTGCATTATATCACGATTTTACCAACATAAAGTATAGGGATAGAGCAAGGATGCTCAAGTTTCTTAATATCACAACAAATCTGTTTTCGGTGTGTTGACCTTCATGCCTTGAGTCTAGGAAGAAAAAGTTACACTCAAACTTCAATGTTTCGAACTTTGCGGGAATATTGAACATTGAACATCATTTTAAACTTAAAATCTATAAGTATAGAATTAACAGTAATAAGAATAGCATATTTTCATTACGAACAGACCTTGATTGTGCCACTAAACAGCAAGAAGTTTGACTAATAAAAGATTGATTTATTAATAAAAATATAGGTAGTGTTATTTAAGGAAAAAAATCTGTGCTTTGTTGCAAATTGGACACATCGAGAAATTTGAAACTTTGAAGTTTGGTTTAGGGAAGTTCGACTGTATGTCACAATATTGTTTCGGTTTTTGTCACACTGATGTTTGTTTCTAATATTTTTTCAGGACTCCAGATTGACTCGTCCATAGTGAATCAGTTTTATAAATCAAGATTTTGACACATCTGTAAGGTAAGTGTGAACATTGCTGGGCATCAAGAGACAAACACTATCATGATATTAGTATTGACACTTGGGTCTGGTCCCACCCCTTGGGACTTACTTTTTGGGTCATATCTTTGAAATCGTCGAGATCCCCCACCCCTATATCCATATATAATAATTGTCCCTGGATCCACATCTAGGGACTTAACTATTGGGTCATAACTTTGAGATCCTCAACCCATAGCCGTATGCAAAGATCCAGGTGAGTGATACAGGCCATCTGGGCCTCTTGTTTTGTAATGACCATCCTGAATTATTCTGAAATAACATCAACAACATGAGTGTTGAAGCTTCAATGATATTTGAGTTATATTTAACATCTGAAGGAACCTAAGGTTGTTCAACAATTTAGAGTACAATGATTAAATTGATATCACAAATATAACATATGATGAAATTGTGACGTCCTGATTCATCATACGCTGGGACCCAGATTATACCTTTGATTTGAAGTTGTATGAATTAACTTGTGTTGTTATTTTTAAAATAAAAATCATGTTTGATTTCAAAATAATTTTTGTGGAGTGCTGATGACATCAATAAATTGTGATATCGTAATGAAGCCTTGTTAGAATTTTAACTGTTCCTATATAATCTTGTGGCGGTCCGTCCACCCATGTGACAGCGAAAACTGTCTGTAACGATGTCAGCCCCCACTGCTCTGCCCCCTCCCCTCCCCAGGGAAAAATTGAGGGAAAAGAACCATCATGTAAAAGCGATCTTTTATAGGCAAAATGTAGCAAAAACAAAAGTGCTTTTGGAACGATTAAATTGATAGGGTCAATCTGTCATACTTTAGTATTTAATGTTCCCGATGTATGGTGTTCTTTTTAATAGTTTAAGATTAATCAGATTTTAATAGATCTGGCTATACACCTGTTTCATACTCTAAGATGTTTTATGAACTAAGAGATTTTTTACGCTGAACATTTACTTCACAATCACATCAATATAAAGATGCGTTTGTAAGATGCAAGATACGAAAAGATATCCTATGGACAAAGGGATTGGGATTATCCACTGTTCAGTATCACAGTAAATATCAGTGGAATCAGTTATATGCTGCAGCTAGACTTCTTGTCACGGGCTGAATTTACAGATTTTACGATTGCAACAGATTGACGAAAAATCCAGTATGTGACCTAATTGTGATGCCTATGTTATTCGTTCACTATCGATGTTATGTAACTTGTGACAAAGACCAGACTCGATCCCGTATACCCTGTAGATTGGCGGCTCCATATTTTATGTAGCATTCTGTATGATCAAGAAAATAAAAATTTAAATTGAGTAGTTTTATTTCGTGTAATTGTAGGGACTTGGTTTTATAGTAATCAAATTTCAGATATTGCTGATATGTTGCGCTTGTATTGTGTTTCTGTCTTGAACGTATCGTAGAACTGTCGGCCCACATTGCTCGTTTCGACTGTACTTTGCTGTTTTTTTTTGTGTGTGCGTTGTTAAGCGATGCGCATCTCTACAGTACGGTCAATGAGATATTACAACATATTATCTATCATATTGATACAATTCGATAAGGCTAGCCATAGACATAAAATCAAATGAAAATTACAGAGAGAAAAAAAAGAACCTAGGAAATCACATCTGCGGAACATCAAATCAGGATGAAGGCAGAGCAATAATTGTGTGTAGTCGGAGAGGAGTTTTAGTTATGCGAGTATATTGAATTTACCTCTGGTACTGGTAAACATGCAACCCTACTGAGGCAGGTCCCCTGGCAGTGACACGAGGCTGACACAAGGCTGGAATCTGTCGGAGCTGGCCACGCTCTCTGGTTATGACGGCCTATGTCAGACAATGATCGGAATTGACTTCCTGTCATTCACACTTTGCCGAATTCTTACACAGACAGTTGGCGTATTGTTGCCTTGAATTCCTCCAGGAACACAAGCTTAGAGGTTGTACAGCTCCGTACAGAGTCCCTCGCATATATTTCTTTAGTTCAAGTTCCTGTTTATGACAGTATCTGAAAAAGCGTTGTTTCGCATCTTTGTGTTGGGCTCCATTTTCCTAAATAACGTGTCAAAACAGTGTGCAAGCCAAAAGAATTTGCACCAGTATCTATATGTAATTGTTCATGTCGAGTGACAGACTTTGGGTTTGAACATGCAATTTACGCAAAAGGATTTGGAAAAATGGAGAAAACCATCTAGATTGTTATGATAAGTGTTTTTTAAAGCCAGCTTTTTTTGTTCCCCTGCCAGAATGCCAGTCATAGAGACGTCGTAAAGCAGTCCTGAATTATAACTCAGACAGACTTATACAAAACGAAATTTTAAAGAAATTTTACTTTTATTCAAATTTTTTAATCTCTATTCTGTGTATGTATAGTTACCGCATGCATCGGTGTCATTTCCAGACTTTTGTCGAAATCAAAAGTATAATTGTTTTTACAGCTAGTATTTGAAATTTTTCCAATTGTGTTTATTTTTCCTTCCAAATTTTTCTGTAATTTTATTTTGTATAAGACATTTCAGCTGAAATGACTTGATTTGTGAAGAAAATGAACACTAAATTTTTTCAGTAATTTATGCAAGAATAACAACAATCGATGAATGATGATGACATCATTACAACTGATTGCGATTTTTTTATTGCAGCACAATTTTGAATTCAGTTAAATCTAAATGTTCTCCAAATAATTCTAAGAGTAAAAATAAATAAAATGTATTGTTATTGAATGTCTTGGAACTTTTCAATCACCGATTGTTTCAAATACACCTATAAAAACTGCTTGTTTTGATTTATTTATCGAATGTCTAACTTTGTCACTAATTCAAACTCAAACATGGAAGTAAGGTTCCAATAAACCATTAAGGTGAAGAAAAAAAGGATTCGGAGAGTACGATAATACTCTCCAGACAGAAGCCTTTTATCACATTTCATTGAAGATAAACAAATCTTTCCTGACTTTATGGTGAAATTTCGCCACGCGAGGGTGATTACTCGGTATCAAAGCATATTGACCTTTGTTTAAGCTTCGTGGTGCTTGGGCGATATATATACGCTGAAACACAGCTGCTGTCGGTGACGTACAAATATGTTGACATCATTCCGATACCTGCTGTTGTTTTGGTCAAAGGAACAGTAGTTCAATAAATTTGCGAGTGTAGATACATGTATATTTATCAATATAGGTATTTTATGTGTCGTCGGGACAAGCTGGCGCACTGTGTATGCTGGAACTATTGACGTTAACGCTGCTGAGCTCAGGGTTTTGCGGCCATATGCTGTGCCCTCAGATGTGGCACCAGCGACACATGGCTCCAGAATCAATTGTTGTACGAGATATATTCAGGTATACACTATTGTAAGGAAGGNGGGGGGGGCAGTATATCACCACTCTGGGGGCAGTACTGTACTAGTTTGGAATATATATACACTGTTGTAAGAAAGGGCAGTGCATCAATCTTTGGGAGGAGGGAAGGGGATCACCACTCTGGAGGCAGTATTGTTCCAGATTTTGATGATAGGGTGGGGTAATATCTGGCCCAAAAAAATAATTTTTTGGGCGAGTACAAAAATTATTTCACACGCCCAAAATGAATATTGGTAGCCCAATTATTTTACTAAGAGTTTTTTTCAGTGTTGAGCAATAAAAAATGCCAATAAAGCAATATAAATAGATGTTCTTTATTCTTCAATCAAACCCTCCCGACACATAACCCTAAAAACCCTCCCCTCATTTCCATAGTCTTCATTGTAACTGAATTCACCTGGTAGGAATTTACAACTGCAGATGACTTTGTTATATTTAGATAAAAATAGTGACGTGATCAGCTGGCGATTTTGGGGCGACTAAGTGTTCATTACCAGTACTGGTGATATGGCAGACCAAACAACATAAAATAGTAACTTACAGCGAATACGACTTATAAAAGTACATTAGTTAACTTACTTAAATCCCCAGCCCTTGTTTGTATCCGCCATTCTGTCATTAGTGAGATACAGATTTCTATGCTTATATTGGAGCTGAAAACAAATCCCATATTCTCAGAACATACGACTCCATTCAGGGATATAAATCGTGTAGCTTATTTCATATGGCTTAAAACCATTGTTGCCTATTAGTGATAATCACCAGAATAATTGTTTTAAAGAATTTCTGTGATTTACTTGAAGACACTTGATCAACCATTCCATTCTGATAATCGCAATTCCAATACTCCTATTACCTTCAGCACAGTTTTTGTGGGGGTCTTGACCCCAACCCCCCCCAAACCCCTCGCCCCACTGGGATTCAGAAGTTTACAGGTATCGGAAAATGTCGAAGAAATCAGAACTCTCTTTATTGGAGAAAGGTACAACACAAAACACTTGGAATCTCTACCCTAATGTGTGGCCTTCAACGTTTTCTAATGAATTAAAAAAAAAAGACGGTAATTGGGATTTACAGGAGTAAATAATGGTGGAAGCTAATCGCAACTCGAGCTACTTTTCATCCATTTTGAATTAATCAACGCCAAACACCACCTGCGTTATGTCACGTCTGGCCTACAGTTGCTGCCGAGATTTACTGATTATGAAATGAGTCCAAAGATCAAACGCAGTGTGGAAAATTAGTCACCTAGTATCCTAGTATCATATGTTTTATTGGTATATATTTTCCTGTAATTTGCAGAACATGTGTATGGTTTTAATAATTAATGCAGGATTTTATCCAGGTTGGGGGTGACTACACATAAGCCCAGACATTGCATACAGATGGTATATCTATGACACAGGGCCCTCCTTAACCTCGGAAGCTTCCATCATCCGAAAACCACATGATCCATACCTACTTACTCTTGCCCTTTTCACTTACCCAGTTTTATTGTGGAGTTACTTCCCTTATCTGATTTGCCAACTCTGTCCCTAAAAGTTGAACTCTGGTCTAATTTCAAATGTCTTCTATTTTCATTGAAATACCAGACTTAGCCAGGTTTTGGTGGTGAAGGAAAACTGGA